TAAAGAAAAGGAGAGGAACGAGGGGGACGGGGGGAGGGGCGGGGAGGGAAAGAAAAAAAAGTTTATTTAGGGGAGTTTTAATGCATATTTTGTAAGTTTCAGGCAGCTGTGTTTGTAATAACCAGTTTAATGTTCACTGCTCCACGAGGGACAGTGCTGGCACCCCGCCAGAGCAAAGACAGGGGATGCGGTCACCGGGGCTCAGTTCATCACACACGGCATGCCAGCATCCTGAAGCGTGTCCGATGAGGAAACACTGATTGTAACCCAACACATTAGAAACTGATTTCTGGTCCTGTAGCAGTCCATGGATGGCGACAAAATAAAATGGGGGGAAAAAAAACAAAACAAAAAACAAACAAACAAAAAAAAACGCTGCACTAGTAAAGTAGGAGGCGCCAGAGAGTCCAGGTTCTGGAAGCGGCGTGAGGCACGCTGCAGACTGGGCCGTGGCCGAGATGAGGAAGTGCCACGAAGGGAAGGTCTTTATGTAAACGAGAGCGGACCGGTGCCGCACCGGGAGCTATGCCCCGGGAGAAATCCGCTCCCCAGCGCGCTCCCGCACCGAACAAACGGTAGGCTTCTTCTGACCGTTGCTGCAGAATGCCCTGAAATCAGAAGAAACACACGGACACGTACAACCAGCAGTCATGTTGGCGTGGCATCCTTCACGCAACTAGCTGGTTGGTTCGTTCAGAAGTGCCTTGGACAAAGCCGCTCCACGAGGCCTGTAATCTGAGCCTGCAGACGCTAAAAGGATTGTCTCCGATGCCTTAAGGTGTTAATTGCATGTCAGGTATTATCCAGACAATTAAAAAGTAGTTATAACTAACCGAACAGCAGCCCAGAAGAGGAACTGGTCTCCTCCATGTTATACCCAAGTGGATCCACTTATTTGAATTCAGATTAGATTGAAAGTATGCTTCTCTCACACACACACCTGGAACGAATGCTTTGTTGGTTTTAAAAACTGCACACTACGCTCCCCACACAATGATCTGCAGACAAAAAAAAAAGCCGGCCCTGTGCAAATATTTGTGGCACGCATACATGCAAGCACACTCTCTTCTTCATACAGATACTTGGCTAATCTTTTGGATGCGCAGACACTTATACTCTGCCAATGACGTGGCAAAGAAAGTCAAACATGCCCTGCAAAACCACCGGGCGAATGAGCGCAGGCCCAGACGTGCCACTTTCCTGCACGGGCGTTCTGTCGCAGAGGGATAGCTGCGCATTCGGTACTTCGGCCTGCGCTCCCCTTGTCCTTGCTCAGAGGGGTGCCAGCCATCTAAATGAACCTCACTACAGTGTCACGGCTTTAAGGGAGTTCAGTCAGGGATGGAATTAATTTAAGCTGATAAGTGATCAGGAAAGACAAAGGTCTGTATGCAGACCAGGCCCACAGGAGCGTAAGCAACGAGCCACCATTTGTCTATCTTCACAGCTGCAGGATAAAGCGATTCTGACTGCTGATATAAGCTCCAAGTCAGGGAGGGGGGGGGGCAAACTCCACTCTCAGAGCCAAAGGTTCCCCAAAGTCTCTTAATTGCTAGACTAAAAATCATTATTTGAATATGAAACTTTCACCACTATGCCCCAGAGTCAAATTAAATCATCAGCCACCAAAATCAAGCAGCAGAGGCCGTGGTTCTAACGGAGGGGAGTTCATCAGCCCAGTTCCACACAAACAGACTGCGCCACGCTGGTCACAGCCATTCTGGTCATAAATGCGCCGTTAACACTTGGATTTCTGCCCTGCGCGCAAGAATTATCACCAGGGCCTACTTTACAGTATCTGACAGCTTCACATATTGTGTGTGTGTGTGTCCGGGGGGGGGGGAGGTGGCGGGTGGAAGAAATACTGAAGGTCACTAAACAGTGTTTCTTTTCTGTAGCCTAAATGGAGAGAACTGAGCATTCCTTAATGAACTGAAGACCGCTCGACATTTAAACAAGATCACACAGCACAGGATCCCCCCCCCGCCGGTCTTCCATGTCCAGGCTTCACACCCTCCCCGTTCTCCCACAAGGCACCAGTGATCCATTTCCCAAGACACCCTGGAAGATTCCTTCTCAGAGGGGCACATTCCTCCGTTAAGTGTCCAAGCACGGTGGCCTGCCGCTCTACTGGAGGCTGTCCAGCTGGTCCCCATGCACATACACAGTAAACCAGTCCAGAAAATTGCACAGGGCAGCGGGAGAACCGATTACTACCGCATCTGACTATCAGCCCAGCAGAATCATGGCTCTGCTCCCATTTGTGGGAATGGGTAACACACCAGCGATGGAAGTCGAATGTCCAAACAGGAAGGTAACTGATCCAATGTGGTGAGAAGATGGGAAGAGAGGCCACAGGGTGGAGCTGGAGAGCAGATCCCATTTAATGTCCCCCAAACTGAGGTGGGGAGGGAAAAACAAGGAACTGTGGCAAGTAAAAAATTAAATTAAATTTAAAAAATGAGGATTAAAAATGGGGGAGAAATCTGTAATGATGAAAACGCATTACAATTTAAGTAGAGTTCAGGCACAGTGAGGGCAAACAGGTGAAAATTCTGGACCTCACCGTAATTAACACAGGCTCTTTTAGCTGAGAGGAACATCTAGAAAAGTTCTATCCAACCAGGGGATGGAAATATGTTCTAAGGCAGGGTTATGTCACCATGTGTGATTGTTTTCCTCCTTGTTTGAAACTCGTCCCATCATAATGTGTGTTGCTCCCAAGAGAAGCTGTGTTCGCTCTCTCCCCTCCCCAAGCCCCCTCCCCTTGTGCCAGTCTGGACTACCTAGTAGTCATCCAAATCGAAGAATTCATCATCATCTCCCTGGTACTCAAGGCCCTGGAAGTCCACTCTGTAGCGCAGCACACCTGAATTGGAGAAGAGGGGAGAGATGAGACCCATCCTGCTCGCATTAACCTCACAGCTCCACAAGGGGGCTGCCTCCACACCACCATTCCTCATACGGTTTCCAACAAGGCTTTTTAGGAAACTCGAGTCACAATTCTAACAAAGCAGGATAGCAAGTTTGCAGAAGCCAGCAGAATCGCAGTGAGATCTCACCTCCAATGCCGCCAAAGCCCTTGACAAACTGTGACCCCTCCTGGCTCTTGTCCGTGACGATCTCCAGCGTGGCGCCAAACTTCTTGTAGTTGTTGGCAAACCACTCGAGCAGAGGCATGCTCTCTATCAACTCGTGCTCCTGGCCCGTCTTCGAAAGGAACGAGTAATGCAGACTTAGCTGAATGCTATACAATGTCTCCAAAGTCTGTATAGTGACCCAGATGTTTGTAGAAGCATACATACTCAGTTGTGTGAAAAGGGTTCATGTATCAGGACATGAAAAATCAGGTCCTTAGCAGGTCTTAAAATTAGGTAAATACAACCTCAGATGAACAACACATGACATATTACACCATGTCATTATTCATTTAACAAAAACTAAGCCAAAATGAAGAAGCAATGCGTGAAAAATTAAGTACATCCTTAGTGCTTCCATAGGAATTCAGAGGGTAATTAGCAGGCAGGGGCTGGGAATCAAATGTGCTTGATTAATTGATCATCAGCAAGTGTGACCACCTCTATAAAAGCAGAAGTTTTGGCAGTTTGCTGGTCTGGAGCATTCAGTGGCCTGTGCTACAAAGCAAGGTTACTGGCTTATCAGGGTAACTTGTAGGATTTAAGGTACCACGGTTTAAATGGACCTCATATTCGTTCTTACATTTTGCCCAGACTACCTTAAATCCGACAAGTTACCCCGATAAGCCAGCAACCCTGCTTCGTAGTACAGGCCACAGGTGTGTGTTACCACAATGCCAGGGAGGAAGGACATCAGCAGTGATCTTAGAGAGGCAATTGTTGCTGCCCATCAATCTGGGAAGGGTTACAAGGCCATTTCTAAACAATTTGAAGACCATGATTCTACAGTGAGAAATATTATGCACAAGTGGATAACATTAAAGACATCTGCCAGTCTTCCCAGGAGCGGATGTTCCAGGACATTCACCCCAAGATCAGATATGCAATGTTCAGAGAAATTGCAGAAACCCAAGAGCTACATCTCAAACTGTACACGTCTCAGTAAGCATGTTATACGTTGAAGTTCATGACAGTACACCTAGAAGAAGACTGAACGGGTATGGCTTGCCAGATTAAAGCCTCTTCTCCCTAAAAGGAACATAGCAGAACGGCTTAGGTCTGCAGAGTTCCATCTGAACAAACCACACGTCTTCAAGTCCCCACAAAGGGGACCAAAGTGGAAATGCTTGGCCATGCACAGCAACATGTTTGGTGAAAACCAAAGACAGCATATCAGCACAAACACCTCATATCAGCTGTGAAGCACAGTCGTGGAAGGATGATGTTTTGTGCTTGTTTTGCAGCCAAACACCTTGCAGTCATTAAGTCGACCATGAACTCCTCTGTATACTAAAGTATCTAAGAGTCGAATATGAGGCCATCTGTCTGACAACTAAAACTTGGCTGACATTGGGTCATGCAACAGGACAACGATCCCAAGCACACCAGCAAATCTACAGAACGGCTGAAGGAGAAAAAAAAAATCAAGGCATTCAACCCAATTGAAATACTGTGCCGGGACCTTAAGACAGCTGTGCATAACTGAATGCCAGCAAACCTCAACGATGTATAGAAGACTGGCCCAAAATTGAGAGAGACTGATTATGATAAAAGATAAAAAAAAAAAACACAAAAACGATTACTGCTAACAGTGGTTCTACACGCTACTGAATCACGGGGTGTACTTAGTTTTTCCCCACACATGGCTTCTCCATTTTTGGCTTCATGTTTGTTAAATAATGACATGGTGCAATCAGTTGTGTGTCGTTTTACACACGTGGTTAAAACAACCTAGATTTAAAGAAATTCTAGACCCTGGTGAGGAGCACATGATTTCTTATGTCCTGACGTAAATCCATAGTACTGAAAGAGGGTGTACTTTTTCCACATGACTGTAAACAGCGTCTTAGACCAGACAGCCAGCTCGATGATTAAATAAGTGAAATACTCAAAAGCTGACAGCGGTTAGTACACAGGAAGAGAGCTTGGTACCAGATTGACATTTCGACTGTTGCATCTTAAAAGGAAGTACCTTCAACAGTTTCTGTAAAGCATTTCATCACAAAAACAGTCCAATACGGTAAAAAAAATAAATAAACTCACCTCCCTGTCTGTGAAGTGAGATTTGTCCTTCTCCTGCTCCGGCGTTAAATACAGGATCTTTTCATCTGAGTCAGGGAAAACGGAGAAACCAACAAGCTTAACACAAACCGGATCTTGTACTGACCTTCTAACAGGAGAGCACTGTGCTGGGTGGCAGTGACATTTCTGGCTCATGACACCACAGACACCTACCGTTCTCGGGCGTGGTGCCCTCAGCGCCATGGCAACGCAGCACATAGCGCATGGTGTCGAGGTTCTCGTAGACGATGAGGATCTCCACGGCACCCATCTCCAAGGCCTTCAAGGTGTCCTCTACACCGAAGCAGTACTTCCCCGTATCCTGACTAATCTCATCAAAGTAGCGACCTGGGGTGGAGGGTCACAAAAATGAACTCGCATTAAACACAGGTCCACTCAATAAAACATGTCAAATCATTGGTTGACCTGGTCAATTCAGAAATCTCAAAGCAAATGTTTACAAAAGGCTTTCATAATCAGTACATTCTTGGGTCTCCAAGGGTGGGTAGAGAACAGTAACACCACCATACAGATGCACAGGAATATTTTTTCATCCTTTCCCATACACACACAGACTAATGACAGGATAAATACTGACTTATCAGCTTTTTCTCCTGGATAAACTTCACATTGGATAGCACTTCAGCAGACAGCTCAATGGCTTGGTTGAAGCCATTCTCCCCTCCGTACGAGATGTCGACCAGCTTCAACACCTTGGCCTGCAGCCTCTACAGACAAACACACAGAATCAAGAGGGCCTTTGATTATGAGGGCGGGGGGAAAAAAAAAAGCATGACTTCCTGAAACTATAGGCATTCCCGAGTCGATCGGGACCTACCAAGAACCTCAACCACAAGGTCGTACAAAGTTCTTTCTGCTGAAGAAGCCAGCAACCCCCATCAGTAAAATCAAACAAGTCTGTCATCGCTTCACTTACAATAACCCTTGTTTTACTGGGCAAACTGCAAGGCTGGGTCGTCTTCTGCAAAACCTTCTGCTGAAGAACTGATACTTACAGCTAAAAAGTTCCAAAGGTGTAGGATTAAGCAGAAGCTTGGAATGTTCATTGGGACGTTTCAAATAGAATCATCAGTTAAGGCTTTAACCCAGACAGTTAATCTTAATCTTGGATTTGATGGTTCATAAATAAATAAATGTATTAAACTTAGTAAGCCACCTAAAGTAAGATGAAGCTAGGCTTGGGTGGTACTTGATTTTTCATACAATCACACCTTAGAGACAAGCGCTACACTATGGTATACGGTATTGTGGCACTATTTTCAAAAGCAATGCCTCTTCAATGTTTTGAAAATCTTGGCGATAAATTTCGCCCAACTCTGGGCTGGGTGTTAATATAACTTTGGTTTCAAAACTGGTAGGGACCAAATCAGCCCTGACCCATCCCCCCCCCCCCCCCCCCCCCCATCCGCCTAAACACGCACAGTACTTGCACAATATTGGCAGCAAGATCTGATCTACTGACCAAACCCAAACTTATGCCCTTTTATTGTAGTCCATGCAAATATACTAGTGTGGCAAAAACCCACAGCATACTGTATTAACATATCACCACCCAAGCCTAGATAAAACTTCAATTTGTGGTTTACAAGCACATGAATACGACTACACCCTTGTGCAAATGAACTAAAATGGTAATTTTTCCCTTTGTTGTTTTGAGGTTGCTACAGCTATTATGGCATCGGAAGCTCGCATCCAGCCAAGGGCGTGATGCTGTCACCACAATGCATCCAAGTTCCCCAAAGGAGAATTGTTCCAGAACTAGAAAAGGCATTTTCTGACAAATCAGACATCGTTTAGAATCATCTAACCTCACGCCATATATAAAAAATTAAGACCTGTCAAAAATAAGAAAATCTAGGTACCTGACTGGCCAGGAAGCTCTAGATTTAAACTCCATAAAAAATCTGTGGTCTCTAGGTAGTGCCTTTATGGAAGGGACTGTACCACCATAACACCAAAGACTGCTCAAAATGATCATATTCTATGCTAAATCACAAATGGTCATCATGTATTGATATGTTGATACTGGTATGACTCATAATGAAAGTCAAAGGTAAAATTAAATATTCCGGTATTCGACTCTTTTGACAACTTGTCTCCATTAGTTTGTGCAAAGGTGTAAAATGTAATTTCTGCACCGTAAAGGCTTTCTGAGCCATTCCAGGAAAAGCAATCATCAAGGAGAACGAAGACCTACCAACTAGTTCAGTGTTTCCCAAACCGGTCCTGGGGGACATGCAGACAGTCCTCGTTTTATTCTCAGTGGGAGGGGGGTCCCTGAGGAGCGGTTTGGGAAACACTGAACTAGTTCCTTAATTATAAACACCTAACCCCCAACTCATACGCGTGTATAGATCAAGCCACTAGACCAGGGTTCTTCAAATCTGGACCTCGATTCCAAATCCAGGCCTTGTTTTCAGTTCTCCCAGGTAGTTAGTTTAATAAATACTGATTCTGATTGGTCAGAGGCTTCACACCTGACTGACAGGTAAATAAGGCTGGAAAACCAGCAGTGCTCGGACCTCAAGGACCGTAATTTGAATAACCCTGTTCTAGACTAATAGTCACCAGTAATACTTCCACTTAAGACTGCTTGTGTGGTTGTTTCAACCACACCACTGATGCAAAGTCAGAGCACACTATTGTTTAAGAGGCACTAACCGGGTCAAACATATCTGACTGGCTGAGCTCGGTTTTGAAGTCGGCCGAGCCGGCCAGGACCATGCCAGCCACGTTGACCTTGTCGTTGGACACGAAGAGCTGCACCGCCGTCTCCGCCACCTTGCGCACGTAGTTGTGCCTCTTCTCCATCCTCAGCCGAGCAAAACGCAAAGCCGACTGACCGCCTCGCCCTGAGAGAAAGCGAAAGACATGCAATTTTAGAACTTCGATCATTCCTGGTTAGCCCATAGAGTTCTGGGTAATGTTCCTGATGCATTATGGGTATGTGGGCTTGGACCCTGTTACCATGATCAGAAGGTTGTGGGTTCAAATCCCCTGTCAAGCTTTGAATAAGTGTCTGTAAATGTATAGGCAGGTGAGGGGTTTCTGTAGTGCACCAGCGCTGGGTTAGAGGACCTTACCGTGCTTCTTTGGCAGATCCACAGTGAACTTGTGCAGCACCTCCCTGGTGTTACCCTGCAGGGTGCCAAAGAGGGCACCACTCCCGTCGATCACGATGAAGCCAAACTTGCTGTCATCGGAGAGCAGAGCTGTGAGAGCCTGAGTGAGGGGTGGTTGGGTGGGAACGGAGATGATTTAAATTCAATAAAATTCACAAAAGAATGATCATCTTAGATCTATAGGAGTTGGGAGTACAAAGAATAAAAAGGACAATTTTGTCCTGTATTCTAGATCAATTACGATGGTCATTTCAGGACCTCACCTCGGTGTGGAACTTGTTGTCACAGAGATATAGTGAAGTGTTGATAGGTTTAAAAGGTTCAAAGTCGATATTCACTTTCTTCTCTTTGCCCTCCTCAGTCACAATGGTGCCACAGTACACCACCAGTCCATTGGGTGGCACTATAACACAAGAACAGCAGCCCAATCAGCAAAAGCCACGAGCTGCTTAGCAATGTCAGTCTCTATGGTCCAAGCTCACCAAACCGGAACCAGTCTAAACTACCCTAGAGCACCATGTACCAACCGGCTTAAAGCACTCAGGGCAGGACTGAACTAGTAGACAGACTTTCCAAGAATGAATCAGCTCAGCTGTGACAAACCAAAATTCTTAAAATACCCTCAAAATGACCAGAGATATCTACCTAGATTAAACAATTCTGTAGCCATTAAGTGCAGCAAGCCTGCCCAAATTTATTAAGTAAGATGAATGTAGGGCTTCTTAAGTACATTTTCACAACAACTCTTAGAAATCCACCTGCTAAAATAACTCTCATTAAGAGTACAGATATAAAACTTATTTTAAAAATTAGCAATAATTTAGTTTTATTATTCAGTTTACTGATCCAGTACTGTCACAATGTGCAACAGCATAAGAGCCCTTCCCAAACACTCCAAGAATATCAGATGCAATTTTTCGGAAAACCTCTTGATGTTTACAGCACCAGTGTCTGAGACTTCAGCATCATAGACTTATTAGTAGGTATAACTATAGTAATACCACAGTTGGAATTTAATCTACTCGGTCATCGCTTATGAATCGATAGCAGTGACACAGACCCTTGTTGTACAGCTTGAGCCGTTGTTGCACAGATGTAATGGCTCCCAGCACAGACAACCGGTTGACTCTGCTCTTGATGTTCGAGGCCGTGCCAAACTCGTCTGCCAACATTTTGGCCACACGGGAAATCTGGTCCTTGGGAGGAATGATCAAGGAGATCATGCTGGTGCCATTTCTGAAAGGGATGGGGGGGGGGGCAGGTTGTTTGTTTGTGATACAACTATGTAGCATAAATATACACACAACTGCATGGCAGTTAGTAGTATAGGAGACTATAGTGTCACTGGTACGGGGTATAAGTCTGTATACATATCCACATGAGGGGGTGGAGGTTCTAACTGGGAGAGAGAAGGAACAGAAGCATTAAAGCTTGGTTTTGCATTAGTGACATTACTCTGGGGTCTTGCTTTTGTCTGCATTTATACATTATTATGTGGACAACAGCTGAACTTAAGCTACGGCTTTTTTCTGCAATGACAACGGCCCGCCATGTTCAAAGGCAGTACAGCAGACCAGCTGGGAAAACGGCAGTAAAAACCCACCCCATGGCTCTACTGTACTGGTCACACTGTATCACCCCCCCCCCCCCTGCAGAGTCCAGGAAAACGTTCAGGTGAAAATGTGAAAATCTCAGGAGCATTTTCAAACTGTTACTGACGGACTATACATATCAGAAAAGAAGTTGCCCTGCAATATCTATGGTTTATTGTACCAATACATCTAACACTGACCAACTGCTGATGAGTTCGATTATCCAATAACCGGTAAAAAACCATTTTCAAAGGTTTACGAAGTTCATTTAGAGTTGCACCACGGATGATTGTAACCGGCTAACAGAAAAATAAAGACACAATGCATTACCGATGGTAACTCAGAACGGAAGAGTTAAAATTTGAAGGCAGGGTATGGTAAGGCGCTGATCAAAGGCTCCTAAGCGCACTAACCAGCGCACTCCAGCTGCTCGCGTCCTCCACTGGCTGGAAGTTAGGCGGCATAACCAGCCTGGAAACGCTCAACATGCTGTCGCCGTGCAAATAGCTCGACACCGAGCGCACTTCATATGAAACAAAAGACCGTTTTTCAATGATCGACTCAGCTAGATAATTACTAGCTACGCACGACTTGCTCTTAGCCCCTGTCATCAAGAATAACCGATGACGACTTCTTTGAGCCCCCAGCCCCGACCATGATCATCGCAACCCGTCTGTTAACTGTTCAGTTCATACCGTCAGCCCAATACGACGTCCATTTAAACGATGAGCGGGACACGATTTTTTAATACATAAACCACATTTCCCACACCCTTTACTAGACTGGTTCGTGTACCACTCCCATTCTGGCCTCGGTGGTCCGTTCACGCATGCCGGCTATGATATTTCTGCCTTCCCCCAACCTTTTTAGCGACCCACTTCGGCTATCCCACATTCCCAGTCTTACCCCCGCGCCGCTTCGAGACTTTTGATCAGTTTCTTTATCTTCCAGATCTCCACGTTTCTGTCCGCTGCGCTCGGGTCGTCCGCCATCTTTCCTGCTGTAATCGCTTCGGCACCTAGAGGAAGGGAAAGGGAGCCGCTTGATCGAAATGAAACGTGTTATATATGAAACGGGATGAAGCGTTTTCAGTAAAAGCTGGGGGGTAATAATCACAAAAGCATAGTTTTCGATCCTGCAAACCAAGGGCAGTCGCACGCCTTACTAACCTAGCTGGCTAGCTGACTAACCGGGTGGGGAGGCCTTTTTCACCCGGCTACGAGTGTCAGTAAAGTGCGCGACAACTTAGGGCCTTTATGACCCTCCCAGGCCTTAGAGTCCACCGACTTACACACCGTGTCTATATTCACCCCCTTGCTTTATCTATTAAAACACAATACACGATCTAGTCATTAACCTCTGCCAAGCTGCCACAATCTTTGATCTCTAGCGGCGGTTAACTTGCCTCCAGCTCCGCCGCTCCTCTCGGTTTCTGCACCGGGCTCGTGTCACGTGTACTCCCTTCACCCGCTCAGTGACGATCCTTCCCGAGCCGGTATGTTCCTCCTGTGTGCGCGCAACGCAGCGAGCCTCACGTGGGGGAAGGGGAGGGGACCGTTCCGCCGGATATCACCGCCTCACAACCGCAGACACCCGACCACGTGCGCTTTTTGATTGGCCGACAAGTGGGTGACTCGCGGGTATTTGGACCTGTCTAATTGGAGCGTTGATATTTAGAAAGAAGTGAGGTAAGGGGAACTGGCACTTGGGAAATGTGGTGCACTACTGCGTTTAACATGCGTAGTGGATACATCAGTGACAAATTGGATCCGTTTGATTGCACATCGTATAAGAAAAACTGAGTTGTCAGGGACAACAGCGCGCAGTGAAAATCGACCTACATTAGTGTTTGTACATGGACGCTTATTGAATTTGGCGTATGCTGTAGTTGTGAGAAGACTTGGTTACTGCGATTTGTTCCCACAGTCCACGATTATCTCGTCTAGACTAGTCTTCCTTTAAAGTACCAGTTATCTAAAGTACCAGTTAGCTGCCAAGGACTTGTGTAGGCACCAGAAACACATCTTTCACATGCCCAAAGCACACTCTGCAGCAGTGTGTGTTCTTTGATGTGCAGTGTTATATCTCTCCTCAGCCACGGTGTGGGGATTCAACACTGGAATCAGCAGATATTAACTAAGAGGATGATGCTGATGTCTCCTAATAACCAGCCACCAGTTAATGCACCATCCTTTGCCATCTCACACACTCCTAAGCTGGATCAGATATAAGTATCATGTGACCTCCCAGGCCACTTCGTCACAATATCTGTAAAATGTCCTTGATAGTTCCATATCACCTGGGCATTTAGGCCCAGTGCCAAGAATCCTTTTGATAGGTGCAGATTGGATTCAAGGGGCTGCAGATATGAATAGGGTTGAGCGTTCAATCCACTGCACATACAATGCCAGGTATTCAATTCAATTAAAATAACTTTATAGTTTATTTGTTTATTTGAAGAAGGACAGGACACGATGACATGAAGTGCAACAGTATTTGAAAGATGTTGTGCAAAGTTGCAGTCAATCTGGCAGATAAGAATTGATAAATATTTAAAGGGAGGGATTGTTAGCAGGCATGGGGGGGCTCAAGTGCAGAATGACTGACGGGTTCCAGAAAATATATTGAGAATTGAGGAGTTGAACAGCCCTGGGAACAAAAGTCATTCTCCTCCTCTGTGTACTGCAGCCGGGACAGCGGAACCATCGTCCTGAGGGGAAGCCACTCAAACTCTGGGAACAGAGCATGGGAGGGTCCTGCAGAATCCTGCACTCTGTTCTCAGGGTTTGCTGCTCACTCAGGGATGAAAGTGCTCTGACCGGGATTCCGATGATCTTAGAGCAGACTTTCACTGTGTTGTGCAGGTAGGTCCTGTGCTGCAGGCTGGTGGATTGATACCAGCAGGCGTTGGAGAAACAGAGGACACCCTCAATTAAGCAGTAGTAGAAGGTTCTGAGTATGACCTTGTTGACCTTGTATGTTGTGCACACAGTGCAAAAGAAATGTGATCAATGCACAGATGCAGGACACTGCATCCTTGCTGAGACCACGTGCATCTGTAGGTCTGCAGGAATCAACCAAACTGCAAGGTGCACTGAGGGCAGAATTCCGGTGTGTTCCTCCTGCACCATGACCAAGGGGGCTCATTATTTCACCCCAGGCCAGCCTGTGTTTTTCTGTGAATTGTTCATTACGGAGATGGTCTAAGGGGTTCATGGCCAGATACAAAACCATATTTAAACAGGCAAATTGGCTTCATGGACCATGCAGTCTCAAACGCTGTCTTCAGTTGACTTGCAAAATTCTCTGCCATTGCTGGTCATGAGGGGTGATTCACCTTCCCAATTCAAAGGCTGTCACTGAACACGTGGCAAGTTTGGTTGGTTAGCTCATTATATAGCCTACCAGGGCGATCTCTGTGCCTCTATAACAGAACAGCAGGCAAAAGTTCAAAAAAGGAACAATATAGAAAATAATGAGAGGGTCGGAGCTCTCGTAAATCTATGAGCAACATTACGAACTTCTTCAGTTATGAAGCGATTAGTGAAACACTCACTAATTAACGATTGATCTTAAGTGCTAGATAACAAGCTACTTAGTATTACGAAGCTTTCAGGAAATGCAACCCAGATTGTTTTCTACAACAGGGAGCTTCAGGTGCTGTACAGACTGGTCATGCAGTTTCTCAATATCCATTCATCCATCCATACATAACTTCTTATCCAATACAAGATCACAATGAAGCAGAAAGAACAGGGCACAAGGAAGGAGACTCTTTGAGCAAAATGTCAGTCAATTGTAGTTCACACTCATTCACTGAATGTGTTTGTATTAGAACCGATTGTGAAGATAAATATCCTTATAGGACAATAAAGGATATGTATCTATCAAATTCACATACCAAGAGCCTTGTGCAGGAGCAGAACCCTGACCCTGGAGGTATGTCCACTCAGACATCCTATTCACCTCATTATGTTCATTTTTTACCTTTAAAAAATCTCAATAAACTCCCTTTCCATAGTAGCTATTACATCAGATATTTCATTAATCATTGAACAAAAACAATATTTTCCTTAGTAGACACTTGTACACAAGGTGAATTTTATGTCTTATGGCCTGTATATATCTGTGTTTACTGATGTGTTTCAAGTTAAAACTCTTGTGCAGATAATTTTAAACTATCTGTCTTTAGGCAATAGGTTCGCCACCTTAACCAATGAACCGTCAGGAGCCTGGCATTTATTATTTGTTACCGAAATTAAAATTCAATGAAAATAACTATATTAGGGCACAGGCTCAAGATTCCCAGGTGAGAATGTGACATAGCTTTCTGAGAAAACAGGTTCAAATCTTACAGGAAGTGAAGGCACTATTAATGTACATGACAAAGAAACAATCAAACAAATGAAAAAAACACTGGGCCACCATTGTCTCTATTATCTCTCTTTAGTGTTTCCAAAGTAGCATTTTGAAAATGTATTTTCTTCTTTGGGTGTCTAAAGAATGGATCGGCGGCAAAGACCATCCCCGCTAACAGGGAACATTCCCAGAACTTTAGTTAACATTATTTAAAGTTGTCAAAGAATGTTCTTACTGTACTGTTAATACGTTAGTTAGATGTTTTACATTGTAACAAAGGTTCTGTCAATGTTAGCGTGGTAACATTATTACCTAAACTTATATAAATCTTTTTTTACACAATTAATGTTGAAAAATATTGTTTTATAATCAAACTAGTATTTTATAAAGGTGCAGTTGGTTTATACTGCAAAAAAAAAAACATCTAACCATGAACCTACCATCTAGCCACTGCTCCTACATGCCCATCTTTTGGTGCTACATTATTATTTTCTGTGTAGTAGTAACTGTAGTATTGGTATAACGTTCTGGGAATATCAGGAACACTGGACACTTTGAATGTTCCTTAGCTGTAAGTTTCAATAATTGTTCCTACAATGAAAAATTGCTTGCTGGGATCTCTATTGAACTATGAGGGGTGTCATGGGCAATATGCCTAAAAGTGAAAAAGGCAAGACAGGCTTCATTTTATCTCAGCAGCACTGAGCTTGTGCTTGGCATTCTGCAGGCTGGGAAAACTCAGTAGTCCAGCACTTTCTCTCTTGTTGCTGTGATGTATAGCTGATGATGTAATGATTGTTCTATTGTACTTGTAATCAACGTGATGGCTGTTGTGTCTGTTAATTTTTTTTATAGTGCAACATTTAAATCAATAAAATGATTATTGAACTGTCTTTGGTTAACAATTCAGTATAATAATCGGCGTTTTCAAATAACAGCACGGCACACATAAAACTACTGTTTGTAAGTCACAAACTTTAATTGTGATTACTGAATAGTAACATAATATGCCAGAAACCCAAGACACAGTGTCAAAAATTAGAATAAAAATGCAATTTCTACATATTTTATTTCTCCATGTAGAGGGAAATGTGACTCTTCAATACTGTGAGTCAATACTTATTTCAAGAGATAAAAAGACAAGTTGTCTGGCATAAAACACTTTCATAGGCCGTTTGTTCTTGCACAGTAACAGAGTGCTATGCTCCAGGATGAGTTTTAATACTCATTTCAAATCACAGGAATTCTAGAAATTTTAATTAAATATTTTTCACTGTTTTGGCTGTAAAGCATATTTAGCACAAACAATGGTCAGCATCAGGAATGAACAGTACAGAGCCGCCGAATGCAAGAGCTACTAAATCAAATGCAGTAAATGCATTTAGAGCTAGTAAATGCAGTGCTTTATGCATCCTATCAGAAGTGGGTGCCGGCTTTGTCACCGGCCGTGTCCGGCAAATATTTTCCATCCTCTGACTTGGAGCCCATCTGAAATCGACAGGAGATCAATCAGGCAGGTGTTTACTCTTACACACTATGCATTTTGCTATGTTCTGGGCCTACCTTGGTCTTGAAGAGCAGGTTGATGACTCCTTTAGAGCGACGGTCTGGGGTTCGGTCAGATGGCTGACTCATGTTCTTATTCTCATGGCGAGAGCGGATTGGCTCGCCTTCTTCTCCTGCATTGGCCACGGAGAGGGACAGACCTGGTGGAACAGAGAGGCTTTAGACTCCACAAGGTGAATCTAGAGATTCAGAGAACCAGGTAAACTATAAACACACACACACAGGCACGCACATGTAGGGTAAACATATCCTTATGGGGACCGCTCATTCACACACACACACACACACACACACACACACACACACACGCATAGTTTAGTTTACTAGATTGCCAACATTAAGAAGCAAAAGACAATTTTGAAGACCAGTGTTATTTATGCAATGCTTTGCCGTCACGATTTACAGTTTTTACAAACATATAACACACTCTGATTTCTTGTTGAGACTGTCTTGCTTCCACGTGCTTGATAATTTTTTCAGTCATTAACTGTCGAAAATGTGCTCTTCAAATGGGTTTTACCTGTCCCCAGCATACAAAATTTTAGCTCATGTATATAAATGTAAAGAATAATAATAGTATTAATAATAATACATTTATTTCAGATCCAAGTAACATACGTATTTATGGGGGCCGCAGGGAGGGATATGCAGGTTGTCACGGGGGCACTGGCTCCCTCGAGCCCCCCCCCCCCCCCCAGAACCACCCCTGGGTATCAGTCTGTCATGCATTACTATTTCTGATTTATTGGTATTATTGGTATGCGGCGGCGATGTCACCTGTGATGGTTGGCAAGGATCGAGAGTTCGTTAAAGTGACGCCGGCCCCGTTTGTTTCATTCAGGTTGGTGTCACTGCAAAACTCTTGCTTCTTTGACAACTATGGGGCAAAACAGAGCACAGTGTAAATCTGACACAGGCAGAGTCAGAATGACAGACTCAGATGGCACAGAGCTCCATAAAATATTGACTCATGCCTGAAGGTGTGTCTGTTCTAATGCAAACACCGAAAGAACAATCAGCAAACAAGACATGTTACTGAGGAGATCTCGATGTAAGTCTTTGTAGAGCATGGTATACGTATCCCCAACTTCTCCTCACCCTCCTGTCAATTGTGCTTGCTCTCTCTTTTTCCTCGGTGATGAAGATCATGCTGCTTATCTTCTTTCTTTTCTTGGACCTCCGCAGCTTCACCTCCCCCTCGCTGGTGGCCTCCTCCGGCACGCTGACACTCCCGCCACCCCTGTGCGTGGTGGAGGTCCAAGATCCCGGGCTCTCAAGGAGGGTGGAGCTGGGAGACAGATTCACAGGTGCGTTATTTTACTGTGACGCTAATCGCTATTTACTCGCGTCGTAAAAAAAAATCTCAGCCTCACGCGGTGGAATCACTCGGTGCTGTTTCGTTTAAAAGCTATGGAATGATTGGTGATAATAATGTGTCCAAATTATTTTTGTAAATTAATTGACGAGAATCACACATCAGTCCTTTAGTAACTACTGGGTGGTTGGAATATGGAAGCAGAAAGACTGAATATGTGAATAAACATTTGAATGTTTTTCAGCTAAACCAGGGGTGGCTAACTTTATCCGCAAAGGGCCGGTGTGTATGCAGGTTTTTGGGGTAACCTTTAGGTCAGCTATTCAAACCCAGGTGTGAGGACTCATAAGCCAATTAGTCCTCTGATTAGTATTCTAATTACTGCTGCCCTTTCTGGATAAGATTGGCCACTGATATGTGCCACAGTCTCCAAATATGGCTGCATTAAGGGTATGAATGGTAAAAGTGCATGGACTGTATGGAGAGAGAGAGCCTGACCTTTCAGGGTAGGTTTTGGTGGGGGTGCCGCATTCCGACCCCCCAAGCGAGGACACGGAGATGATAGACTGGCGGTATGAGTGCAGCATGGAACGCGGCCGGCTTGACCGCCGTTCATCCATGTCCGGCTGAGAGAGAGGGAGCCAGGGCAAGAGGGTCAGCACACATTAAGGCATCGTGAACTTTTGGTGCCCAGATTATTCAAGGCAAAATACAATTGAGAAATCAGGGTGAGCAATCCCGGGAGCAACAAGGGATTAAGGCTCTTCCAAAGGCACCCAGGGGTAAAATCATTCTGCTGGCAATGAGACTTGAACTGGCAACCTTCTGATCGCGAATATGGCATCCGTACCCAGTCAGTCTCCCCAAACGTATTATAACCAACTTTAGTATCTGCTAGTTTATTAAAACAACGTCTTTAGGTTCAGCCTTTGAAACGAATTTTTATGCATCATTGTCATTTCATTATTAATTAATGAATCATTTGTTATTTATTATGTTTCATTAATAGAATGATATCCCATCTGAAATGTGGGTGCAGATGCACCGGAGGTGATTGCAAGCTGCAAACTCTCAGATGCTGATAACACAAATAAACTGCAGCGCAGCAGATGACAGCAAACAGCTTCATTCGTTATCAGCACTTTTCGTCAGCGAGAGCCTTCAGGCGTCACTGTAGGGTTTATCGCCGCATAAGAAAGATTAAACGCTCAGGTAAAACAGAGTGCATCTAAATCTTCCTCTGACCTCCTTTTCTCCCCCTCTTTCTCCCAGAATCCCTAACTTTCGCTTCTCACCAGGTCGCGCACTCCATATTCTTTCTCCACCTTCTTTCTCAGCTGGTTAAAGCACTCCTCCATGCGGTCATGGAAAGGTCGAAGGTCATCAGTCACCCTCTTTCCGTGCATGGCCACTCCTGCTCCCAGTAAAGGAATCTGCGAAAGGTCGAAGATTAGGCTGATCAATGACCAAGTGTTTACTAAAATATAGAACTGGATCCCTCAGTGTTAAAATAACTCCCTGCTTAAGCACAATGCTCCCAAAGTCATACATGCACATATGGTCGGTTGATGGCCACGCGGTTCCCTTGACAAGCTTCATCACTGGTGCCCCATGCACTCCTGCATGCTACTACTGATATTATAATATACACAAACGATGGGGGTAAATAAATAAAATTATTCATGGTTTAAAATAATATAATTGTGCAATAAATAATGCAATAACATTATTATGTAATTTTAAAAGTAAGTAAGTATTTACAAATACTACTACTAGTATTACTACTACTACTACTACTACTACTACTACTACTAATAATAATAATAATAATAATATCTGAAATGACAGACATACCTTCAGGCACAGTTGGATACATATTTTGCACAACATAACCAAATAAAGATGTAGGACCATAAGAACAAATTAAGGACCTGGAGATGTCAAAGTTAACGTAAATATTAATCATTACACGTCACTACTTCTTTGATCATGTTAAATATGACTGCATCAATCTTGATACCATAATGGAAGAATAGTTTGAGCAAAAACTTTTAATAGAAGATAATTTCTGTACTGAAAATACAGACTATAACATGTTTTTCATGGTACAGACGCTCCTCTACTTAGATACGAGTAACATTCCAAACGTTCGTAACTTAAAATGTTCCTCATTTTAAGGGTATACGCAAGTACAAAGAACTAGGATGCTGGGAGTACGCACGCTACGCTGCTGTGCGGCGGGAGTAGCGGCCAGAAGTCGTACTAGGCAGAATTGGTGCACAGAAAAAAAAATTGATGTTGCGGACAGGAAACGGGAGCCCAACGAACAGAATTTGGACTTACAGTCCTTTTCGTTCGTATGTCTGAAAGTTCGTAAGCTGAAAGTTCGTAAGTAGAGGAGCGTCTGTATTGCGATATTATATATTTAATGAATGGTTAAGGGGCCAGCACCTCAGAGGACGTACAGTACTTCGAGGGGCACCGACATAACCAGCCATTAATAAATGGAACCTTTAAAGCTTTGGGGTCTCAGGCACTCAGGCTCCTCCTTAACCCGCCAATTAAATTCTCCCATCCCCGTTCACTTGGCGATTAGGTGACTACGCCCCAATCTACCCCACAACCCCCC